CACATTTAAACTATTTGGTAAAAAACAAACATGTGCAGACTGGAACCCTGAGGTTTACAGTCATTGTTATTTCATTTTGTCTAAACTGTAAAACTTTACTATGAAACAGTATTTAAACTGTAACTAATGGAAGAGATGCCTGTTCCAACAACCCGGTTCTTGGCTTCAAAATGTTTTATTCTGGTAATTTAATTATATGCTCACTAAAAGAAATGGAATCCATTTCTGTTGCTGTTTGACAAGCTAAAGTCAAACAGCACCAAATATTTCCCTGCTACTGAGAGATGAATCTTTTCACTTAAGCTTGTTTGCTTCTCCTTCCATTAGTTTTGTAAAAAGGCTCCTCAACCCACAAGTAAATCTTTTTGTTTGTTTCCTTTGAAACATCTGGACCGCCTGACATCATCTTTCTGAGATGTCAAGCAGTGCTTTAAATCTAAAGCACAAATCCTAATTTAATCTTTGCTCCATCCATAAAATGGAGCAAAGATTTAAATATGCTCTGCCTGGCCAAAAAAGGAGCTGCCACTTGGGTTTAAATTAGGTAACAACCTCCTACTTTTTGATTCAGTTTGATTTAGGACTAAAGGAGTCAAACCCAAGAAATCCTTTTGAAAAGCCTGTTACCTCCTCGCCTGTGGAGGCGCTGCATCAAGAATCATTGAACAAAACAACACAAAAATCTCTGAAGAAGACATGAAACGTAAACAAAGCTGCAAGTGTCAGATTTTAGCAGTTGTAGGATTTCTCTTGAGTTAAACACCAGGCGCCATTTCTCCTGCTGGTGCCGGACTCTTGCTTTTGTTTGGTTATAAATACCCAGAATGCCCTGCGCCACCATCCAGCTCCTGCTTTTGGAGCGGTCTCCTCAGAGTTCACATTCGCATCACTTTAACTGAACCAACACTGAGGTTTGTAGACAGAACAGAGTTAGTTGTTTTGTTTCGCATCAGAATTCGTTGCTTGTTGTGGAAAAAAACTGTTAGTTTAAGAATCTCGAATCATTTCTTCAGCAGGTGTTCAAACTCTGCAGTACAGGAATCTAAAGCCTCCCAGATAAATCTACCGTTTGTCCTCCAAGATACAGAAACACCTCAAATAAATCAGATCTTCACTTTCACTTGTTTGGTTTTTCATGTTTTCCAAGGATGACAGAGAACAAATAAATCTGCATGAAGGAAATTTATTTTAACTCCTGATGGAAAACATCAACTGAGTCAGATGTTTTCTGTTCTGTCATTTAGCTTCACTTGTCACTTTGTCTTCAAATTCATTCTTTCTTCATTCCTTTACTCACAAACATTAGTCAGATTTAGTCATAAATCAAAATGTTGCACAGCCTTTGTGAGCTCAGATTTTATGTCCTTTTTATGATGATTTTAATTGATTTAAACTTAAAAAATGTGCCTCGCCATTTTGTTTCCTCTAGTCAGAGCTTCAACGGTTGACAATGGTTGCTTGTACATCTGAAGGCTAATATTTAGCCCAACATTCATACCATGATTTATTATTGTAACAGGTTCAGAAGACAAAAAAGTGAAGGTTTTGTGAATAAAAGACTTTTTAAACAAACTCGATATATTTGTGAATATTTTGATGTTTCCATCATTTCACACTGAACCCACAAAATGAGATCAATAAAAGTTAATCATTATTTTTCTCTCCTATATGTATTGATGTTTTTTTTATTAGAAATCTCCTCCAATCAGAGTGCAGCTTTGAAACATGATTTCCACTTGAGCCGATTCCTTCCAGGCATGTTTCTGTGAAACCATGTGAGATTTCTTCCCTTCCTTCTCGTTCCTCCTGTCTGTGTTGTTTTCCCTCTGAGGGGATGTGATTGTGGTTCTTGGCTGAGGTCTATACTGTAAAACCTGTCTGTTGTTATGGAAACAGAGACCATTTTTCTCACAGGATCCTCAGCAGGCAGCCGTTTTCCCCCCTTAAGAAGAAGAAGAAGAAAAAGCCATGTTTGGAAGACAACTTGAAGCCCCAGCTGTCCACTGTCTCCTTCCAGGCTGTTATATTTTCTGTGTTCACTTTTGTATAAGCAGCGGCGAGCAGATGCTCTGGAATCCCTGCTTATGGCTCCTGATACGACTCAAACACATCTGCACTGCGGTATGCTCCCGCTGAAAGTTACAACTCTCTTGTTTTTCCTCTGTTTTCACTCTGACACCACAGAGCGGTGGAAACATGCAAAGTGCTGTCTGGGGATGAGCCGATGGAAGGCCGGGTAAATCAAAACAGCACACTCTGGGGCTTCCCAGCGGCGCTGCGTCTCTGTGACTTTTATTGATTTTTGTTTATAAAGAGGACAACATTAGATGATCTCCAGCCTTTACATGTTTTTAAAAGAGGGTACACTAAGCCCGATTTTATTATCAGACAATGAAACCGGAGAACACAAAAGGCAGTTTTTAAGTCGAGATTTCACGATAAAAAGATCAGCCCAAAAAGAAGGACTGCGTCCTACATTCAACTGATTAACTTTGACTGGGCCATTCGTTACTCGTCCAGCCATTCACTGTGGATTTGGTTCAATGTTTGAGTCGACTGATTGACTCCAGAATGTCCTGCTGCCCCACAGCATCAGCCCTCCTCCCCCGTGTTTGACAGACAGTATCTAATGTTTGCATGTTTGTTTTTTTCCCCAGACGATGCACCATCAGTTAAAAATCAGCATCTCCACTTTAGTTACAACTGTGAACCAAAAATGACCAGTTATTTTTGCTTCAATATTGTGTCTGAAATGTTTTATCCAGTTTGTTTGTGAAGTTTCCTTTTCCTCTTTGACTCTCCATCGCCTGTACCTGGAGGCACTCCACCAGAGACAAAAAAACTTTAAGTATTTTTTGGAGGAAAGAAAATGTTCAGTTGCACTTGGTATGCAAAAGAGAGTTTTTCTTCCACAGCGGTGTAACTGGCAGGTTATTTAACCAAATTTTCTCAAAAAGGAAGAGCATTGTGTCGGTAAAAACACATTTCTGCTTTCAAAGGACATGAGATTGTAGGTTGAATGTTGCTTCTTTTAATATGCTTAAAAAGAATGAATCCAATTTATCTTAAGTGAATGTTGTTCTTTATTTGTTTGTATAGTTTCCTTCAGTCTTTTATTTGACTTTCTTCAATGAGGACACTTTAAAAAAAAAGGTAAATTCATTAACTCAACCAGCAAGTAACAAACTCAACTGATTTAGAGTCAAGCTGTTTGTAGTTTAGCCTTCAAATCAAGCTTAAATGAATGAACTGATATAAAATATATATAAATATATTTTACTGTATTATCTAACATCGGTATCAGTACATTAATCATACTTTAACATATTGGTGTTTCAATAAATGAAATATTAACGACCAATATTTACTCCCTTCTTGTCGCTGTTTGTTTCTGGAGGGGGAATTGAAGAGGCAGGTGATGCAGCAAAGGATTGTGGGTAGTATAATTGAAGCAGTGGTATGGTCGTTTTTTTTGTTGATGAAAAGGTAAGAAGAAAACGTTGAAAAATGAGTATATATATCATATTGGTAAATATCAGTTATCAGCCCTAACAGCAATACTAATATTGGATTCAATATAACTCAGAAAATACTGTGTGGAATCAAATTCAATTGAATATTAATCACTAATAAATGGTGCCTTTAAAAACAGACAGGTAAAATTGGAAATTTTTGCGTTGGTAGAACTAAAAAATGCTTCTTGTCCTTTTTCCAAACTGTTCTCTGGACACTGAAGTTATTGCCTGAAGGGGCTGGCATCGGCAAATTAGACACAGATTTTTAATCAGACTGAGCAATTAGACGTTTCTATGAAAGAAGCGACAGAAAGTGAGAGACATTTCTCTGAGAAGAAATCTCTGCAATCCATCCATTAGCGACGCCTATTTATCCTTTCAGAGGCTCACGAGGGAGTGGAGGCGATTCCCAGCTGACACAACTGCATCACCTTTAGGGCAAAGGCACCAGACAACTCATCCTGCAGACCGGGAACAACGAAGTAGCCTGTTGAACGAGTCTGTGAAGAAACATTGTGCAAGCCATTCGGAGAACTCAGATATTTATCAATGACTCTTTGCAGGAAGTGAAGGATAACAAGTGTAGGATCCTCAGAGGTTACATTGTGTGATGAGGCTTGTTGTCATGTGGAAACACCTCAAAGCCTTTCTGCAAGACACACTTTCACTGATATTTTAGTCACCACAAGCTGGTTTTTCAGAGCTAATAGAGAATATTTAGCTTTAAAATAAACATAATTGCACCCAGCCTGAGTCCTGGTTTGAACCTGATAGAACTTTTCACAAGTATGAGGTTGAATATGAAAAAAACTCACTTTTTTTTTACTTTATTGCCAAGCTAAAGCATGGTCAGAGCTTCCTGTTGTTTTGCTCTGGCTATATAGCAGGAAGCCCCCAGCTACCAAATGTTTGGTTTTTCAATTAGGCTAAAGTTCTGCAAACTACTGTATTGACATGAGTCTTTTTCTGAAAACTATTATAATCATAGACAAACACAAAGAGAAGCTGCAAAAGACCAAACTTACAACAAATCCACAATGTTTGTCTGAAATCCTGGAGGAAACACCTGATATGTTGCATTTCTGGTTAAATATGATGGTTCTTTATTTAGAGAAGTTATTCACGTTTGGTAGATGATGCAGAAATTATGCTTAAGTGAAAATAGAAATGCCTTCATAATAACATTACTCAAGAAAAAGGTGAAGATGACAGTCTTGTGAAATTACATGTTTTCAAAAAGTTACTCAAGTAAAAGTTTCTACCTCTGGGCACCAAATAACAAAACACATAAGGTGTTTTGCTTTGAAACTGTTGTTTCAGTCTCACATTATTATTTATAAAATTAAATTAACCTGCTTCTGATACATACTGACCTGCAGGAATGAAATGAAAAGGTAAAAAAGTGGCGCGTTTAGCTGCTGCACATGCAGTGTTGACATCACTGAGACAAAACCTGCTAAAACGAAGAAAGCGTTCTCGGCTCACCTGATGATAACGTACATGACCAGGAAATTCCCCACCAGGCCGAAGAGACAGACGATCATGTAGACCACCACGATGGTGACCCTGAAGCCCGCTGGCAGCAGGGCGTCTGTCTCCGTCTTGTTGAAGTAATCGGTGAAATTATCGTTGAAAAAGGAGCTGTTGAAGAAACGCAGGTCCAGAAAATCCATGTCTGGATGAAATGAAGACGGCGCTCCTGGACAAGAGACACAGACAGGACATGTTAACGCCACAGCTAGCATGCTGCAAGCCACAAAGAAAGATTTAATCACGATGATCCGCTTTTCAACGCCAATGTTGAGAACTTCTGACAACAATGATTGAGGTAATATGCTTTCATGCACAGTGGATGTCATGGAAGCTAATATCTACTGTCTACCTTTTTTTGGTTGGGGTACAGTTGGTTGGCAGCTGGACATATTGTTAAGGCAAATAAAGCTGTGGAGAGTTTACAAACTGCAGGAGTCACATATTCAGGTGTGTGTGATGCTCTGTCTGATCACACACCGCCTGCTGCCACAAGAACAATCTCATTCTGCATGCAACAGCGCTGCACGCAGCCTGCATCAGCAATACATCAAAAGGACGCCATGAACCACCAGCCTCCATCTTCCTGCAAGTCGTGAATATTCATCACATCAAAAAAAGCAAGGTAATTTCACTGTGCAGCTGAGTTTCCCCTGGGTTACTGCTCAGCTCCGGGTTCAGGCGTTAAATACGCTCCGGTTTGTTACCATTCCTACACTCCTTCTTCACTTTTCCCTCCAAATCTCTCTACATTGTTTCCCACTCCTGCCTGGTGTCTTGTTGTCCAGAGTTTTCAAAAACACACGGCAAGTTCTGTTTTTGCAGGCTCTGCTGCAGCAGCAGTGTGTGTGTTTTTGTGTGTTTTGTCTGCCTGAACTTTGATGAATAAGGAGTTAAAGTCAGAGCCTTTGGTGTGTTTCCATGTAAGGTTGCAGCGCCGCGCTGGGTGGGCTGCTGTATACCACTTGAGGTACGTGAGAGAGGACAAAGCAACACTAATGACTGTCATGTTTGGGTGAGCATGAGTGCAAGTCTCAGCAAGGTGACGGATATCTGGGCTTCACTTTAAATCACTTCAAATCAATGCAGTGGAGGTTTTTGTAGGGCTGCAACAACTGTTAGTTTAGTCATCTATTAATCGATTAATCGACTGATTGGATTTTAAAAATTCATTTACCATTTAAGTCTTTTTTATACAATATTATGAATAAATTATAAGATAAAAATAAATTACTTAGTTCCTTTTTTAAATAAAAATGTTATTGCCTAAAATTCAATAACATAGCAACTCCATTGGTGTACAAAGGATACAAAAAAAACTTCTAAAAACATGTGAAAAGCCTTTTATCTAGAGTTTGTTTAATGCAGTTAACAAGTAATGCCTAAATTAATTGATGATTACTTCAGTAAATGATTCATCATGATTAATCCGATTAATCATTTAGGGTTAGGGGTTGGGGTGAGGGTTAGGGGTTAGGGTTTGTTTTTTTGGGCAAGGGTTAGGCTATTTTAATGATAGCACAGTTTCAGAATAAACAGTTTAGCTGAACTAAAATTGAAACAGAGACACTGTTGGACATTCCAAAAGCATAATAATCAAAAGTGTATCAAAGATGACTTTGGAAAACTTTTGAAAATGTATGAACTTTTATTTCAAAGCTTGGTCTGTGACAAGAAGCCACTTTAAATGAGCTCTACCCGCTCAGAATATTAACCAGGATTATTCAAAAAGAATTGATTTCTCTGCAGCTTGTTAAAGGACATTTAGTCAAATATCAGTGGGGTGTGTTTATATTTGAGCCTGTAAGATCCCATGTGTGGATTAGAAACAAAATCACAATAAAAGCAAACTTGCACACCAAGTTCTGTTATTAAAAGCATCTACTGCGTCATCTTTTTATCCAGAAGAGATAAAACAGTTCAAATAAGTGATTAAAATCCATCCATCACAGTGAATACATCCACCAGTCATTAGGCGAGAGGCGGGTCAGACATCAGTCCATCATACGGACGCACAGGATAAACAACCAGCTTGGAGAGACTAATTAACCTAACAGCTTTGGGCTGTGAGGGGAGAACACCTGCAGAACCAGGCATGCACAGGGAGAACATGTTAACTCCCTGAAGAAACACCCCAGGCTGGGATTCAAACCAGAAACCTTCTTCCTGCAAGGCAGCAGTGCAGCTGCAGCATCATAATTGGACTCCATGAAATCACAATATGGAACGATATTCCTGTTGATGAGCGTATGAATAATTTCGACTAAAACTGAAAACATCAAATTAAAGACCATTTGTTCATGGTTTGGTTTTGATGAAGCAACAACCTGACATCTTGCACTTGACAACACATTTGATGTGTCAACTCATTAATGCTCTCAACTTTCACATTGCAGCTGTTGTATTTCAATAAAACATTTTTTCTTTGTGTCATGTAAAATTTCTATCACCAGCAGTGAAGAATGTAATCATGGCTGACAAGCCAGGATTTACTCCCAGCGAGTGATGTTGTTTTCCATTCTTTCAGGACTTATTGGTGGCAGTACATATTTTCTTTATCATTGTCTTTTAGATCAAAAATCTGAAAAACTGAAATTTGCATAAGTTTGGCACAACGGCAAAACATGTAGCTAAAATCAGAGATGCACTGATCCACTTTTTTTACTTCCAATACTGATATCTGATGTGTAGCATCAGCCGATATTGATACAATAATACTGACTGATAATGTTTGACACAAATTTACTGAATTACTAATTTATTTGATAACCAATCGAACACATTTAGATTCACCAATAGCTTCACAAGCTTGGACAAACATGTATATAAAATAAATAAATGGTTTTTGCTGCTGTGAATATATTCATCAGATATTCAGTAAACAATGAGCAGTCTAAGTTTTATAGCTTGATTGTATTATATGAAAAAGAAAAAAGAAGGAACTACGCATACCGCAGCGCACTACTTAAGACCAGCAATAACACTTCTGTAAAAGGAATGTCCAGAAGCTCAAGCAGTTGCATTTTAGAGAAATAACAGAAGAAAACTGGGATGAAAATTAAACTCAGGCAGGCAAGCAATAAATATTGATCACTAAATATACACAAATGTTATCAGGGAAAGGAGTCTGCAGGTACATGGCACCAAACATTGGTTCAGCTCTCTGCCTCCTCAGAGGAAACATCTAATACAAACAGTTGTTAATAAGCCCAACAGTTCAGGTAAACCAGAGGAAGTCACAGTCTCTGCTTATTTTCAACCTGCCCATGTGTTTACAGATGCTTTAATGCATAAGGTCAAGTAGAAAAAAATACTGTTCCTGCTTCACATCTCTACTGCAGTAAAGATGTTATGCAGTGTTTCTTTTTGTTGTGTCTAAGGCTGATACTGGAGCTTTCAGAGAGGCAGCGGTTTGTTGCATCAACCCTCAGCTTGCAACAACAAAGCAGACAAAACTTCACAGGCTTATCAGACCGGGGCTGCCGTTCACTACAGCTGAGTTTATTTAGAATGAAACCAGTCAGAGTCCTCCAGGACACTTTACAAAAAACAAACAAACAGAAAACATATGGGTCAGATTCAAATCCAGTTACATTCAATCCAATTAGTCCGGTTAAATTCATTCCAGATCAATCCAGTTACAACTGGATCTAATCCAATCGGCTTTACACTCAAATCCAGTTGAATACCATCCAGTTCAACGCAAACACAAGATACACAATCAAATCCATAAATGATCAAATGTCAACCAGGAGCCAGGAAAACTCAAATCTGCAGTTCATGAAATCTATTGAAGTTCCCGAACAGAACCGGAACAAGAACTGATCGTTGTTATTCAAGGCCTTTCGAGGGAAATCCTTTCTCAGAATGGTGGCAGCCAACTGCCCAGCAACTGCTTTGGAAATGGATGAAATTGCATAAATGAACATCAAATTGCTCAGATTTATAACCCAGTTTGGGCATTTTAGCATTCAATGTGATTGTAAGTGCAACATTTATGTTGCAGCAATCAATTTAAAATAAGGTGATAAATTGCATCTTGCTTTAATTAATTATCAGAAGACTTAAAGACACGACTCAGGGAGGATCAATGCAAAAGGTGATTTATACTGTGGTTAGAAAAATATTGACAGGTTAAACTTTCATCAACAAATAACTGGTTCAATTTTCTATTAATCACAAATATTTCCAAAGACGTTAATGTTTGAATTCTTCCAAAAGTGTCCATAAATTGATAAAAATCCAGCATAAGCAGTAATAGTCCAAAACCGGTTTTAGGCCGATGGACTGGACCGATCGGTGACTCATTCAGTCACCGATCGGTATAGATGTTGAACGGAATCAGTTCAGAAACCGTGTTGGAACGGCTGGAGATCCAGCAGTTTAACCTCCAGGTTCCTCATGCCAGAGGCCAACTGGTGGCTCGCCATCAAATGGACCGGGCCTGAATACACAGCACCAACAGTATGTTCAGTTCCTTAACATTATTCAATATCAAATCATTATTAATGCCATAAACACTTCCTTCCTATGAGTAAATAGAAATATAGATGATTCACTTAACCCAGCATCGTGGCATCAACTCAAACAGATTATTTATCTTCATTAATAACAGTACTGAATGTTAAATGTTGAACCATCAGACAATATACAACTCTTTTATCAAACAGCACTGAACAAATTAGCTCAATGGTCACAATTCAACACCAAAACAGCATCAGCTTTGACACAGCATGCTAATGTTAGCATTAGCATAATCCTAACAACAGGACAAACACTCACCAGTTTGTTTCTTCCAATTTGTAACTCCAAGAAACTCTTTCCATCAAGAAACTGCAGTAAGAATACCATCGTCAGAAATGACAAACAAATCATTTAAAACGATTTGAAGAGCACCTGCAGCCGCCAGCCCTTCACCTCCCTGTGCACCACAAACAGCAGGCTCTGCCCCACTTTTAAAAACTCCAATCCCACAAAACCTCACAGGATTTCAATCTCAGACTGGCGGGCAGGAGACAAAATGTCAAAGAGACACAAAACATCAGTTGTTAAAAATATCTGGGTTACATAAGCAAATAAAAACAGTAATGATTGATGACTTCTGAAAACTGCAAGCCTTATGAGAGATTCTCATTCAACTGTTGCTGCTGCCACCCTGAATATAACTGATGGAAAAAAGTTAGAAAAGGTGAGCTCTCCATTAAAACTAAAGCTGTTTATGTCATCTGGAATTGGAGAAAATGAGGAGATCAGCAGTGAGCCGGTGAGTTTTCTCCACATTCAAAATGTTTTCCCACCTCACAGATACTCAAAATGCTTAAAGATGCAAAAATGTAATCAGGCAGTGAAATAGTAGCAATTACCCAGCAAGCTTCTTCTCTTTGAAGGACCTCTTACTGCAGGTTGATGAGCAGCATGAGGCAAGCATGCTTTCAGATAAATTTAAGGTATTTAATTCCTGTAATAATATATTTTTTTTAAAGTTATTCATCATTTTCTTTTAGAGCAGATATGTGCAATATTGTATTCCTGACATATTTAACTTAATTATCCACAAGAAAAAGAAAACATTGATACATGCTGGTCGCTATTATTGGAGGGATGGAAGTCAATTATGAATTTTTTTTTTTTTTTTTTTTTTACAATAATTAAATTGCATTAGCCAGGATACACAGAAAGGTTGTTCTGAAGTTACAATGTCTATTCTTTAGCTAACACTAAAAATGTTTCATTTATTTCTCATTTCATTTCTTCAAGTGACCAAAACTCTGATAGTTTTGGTCACTTGAAATTAGAAATGTATCAAAAAGCTGAAGGTAAAAGTTTTGATTTTAATCTGAATTTTAACTCACAAACTAAAGCTTTTTCCTCTCTTGTTGTTTTTTATGCAAAGTGCTGACGATTTCTTGCCTTTCCGAGTTTTGTAATTCACTTTGTAATAACCTTTTTTATGGAAAATAGTGCTGTCTACTATTGGAGCATCAATTCAAAACCCACCAGGGGAGCATTGTGCACCAACTTTAATAAAAGAAGATTCAAAATGACTTTCTGTAATATCTATATTGCCTGCTCTAAGAAATCACCATTAAAATACTTACATGTGTCCATAATTCTTCAAAAGAGTCAATTTGCTAAAATTAGTAAGAAGTGAATGAGCAGAGACAGGTTCAGAAGTTATGTGATTTTTTTGTTTTAAAATAGTCATTAAATACAAAATCAGTTGTTTTTTTGTGACTTTATTTAAAGCTACATCAATAAAGTGTTGTAAACTCTTTAATCACTGGATAATATTTAAAGGTAAGTAAATTGTCCTCTGATATGTCATGAAGGTGCAATCAGCATGATCCATTTACAAAAGACTGCAAATTAACACCTTAAGCTTTGATTTCATTAGGAATGTTTAAGTGATCAATGAATGATAAAAGAGTAGAAGCTGGGACTTGTTGTGACTCGTCTTGTTTTAAATCTAAAGATTTGATTGTACTGTACATATCTTATCTTTTCACAGCCTGAAGAAACAAAAGAAGGATAGAAAGCAGTTGTTCCCCTGCAGAAACACTGAGTTGTTGGATTATTCTTCCTGCTAAGATGCAGATGCTCCTGTCCACTGTCGCCACATGCTTGCTTGGTGTGAAGGACTGCAGTGAATCTGTCTATATAATTAGATTTTTAAAATTGTATTCCTGTGAAGTTGTAATTCTGTTACACATAAAGTGAATTCATTAGGTCTGGATCTCATTTATTTAGATTAAATCTCTGGAACAAACTCCCTGCTGACCTCTGACCCTGGATTATTTAAGGTTAAGACATATTTCAAGTGGATTTGTGACTTTTTTTACAACAACAGCGGCGATTTGTGTTTTTTTTTTTTTTTGTTTGTTTGTTTGTTTGTTTTTTTTTGGATACACAAAAACATCAATCTGCTCATAATTAAAACACCAATTATGTACACGCCACAGTAACAACATCCTTCTGTCCAATCAGAAAACAGAAGATGCGCGTCGGTCCCGGCAGGTGATCAAAGTAAATTTACTTTCCAAACTTGCAGCTTTTTCTGCCTTCAAATGAGAGCGAGCTCTCTGCAAACACACACCATCTGCTCCACGAGCAATGCAACACTTCACTGTGTCACGCGCTGTGGATTCTCCCGTGACAACCTTTCACCTGCAGCAGCACGCGACGTAAACACAACGACAGGAATACACGCGCGTGCTCTCCTGCAGCGCGCTGCGGTGGTCCGGGACAGAGAGAGAGAGAGAGAGAGAGAGAGAGAGAGAGAGAGAGAGGGGAAACAAATTGCTTTGTTGCGGCGGGCTGCGCACAATCCGCCCTTACCGGTTCCGATAGAATCTGAGTTCCGAGCGGCGACAGAATCCCGAGAAGTGGCCGCTTCCCTCTCCGCGTTCCCTGCACTCTGCTGGGTCTGAGTCGCTCCGTCTCACTCAGGGATTGTCTGTTGACCAACTGATCACCTGCGCTGTCATCACAGATGGCAGGTCAAAACTGCACATAAAAAAAGGAGGGAAATCTGAGGTCGATCCGGGATGAAAGCAAGAGAAACAGCTTCACCTCCAGTGAGCATCAGCAGCAGAAAGCCACGGGAGGAGGAGGAGGAGGAGGAAGGAGGAGGAAGGAGTCCGGAGGGCTGAACACGCAGAGTGGAGCTGCTAGTCCTGCTTCTCTCTCTCCTTCTCTCTGATCGATGGAGGTTTGCTCAACCACTCCCTCCTCTCCGTCTCCCCATCCCTGCTGTAGCATAACCTGTGTGCTCTGCTTGGTGTTCCAACAGTTGTCTAACTCCTTTTCGTTTTGGGCCAAATCAAGATCATAAAGGCTCTTAAAGGGCCGGTTGCGCCAGGATGTGTTGATAAAACCTGTTCACAAACTGTTAATATGTCAATGAATTCTTAAAATTACATAATATTATTGAACATCTCTTCAGGGACTAATAATAAATGTGACTTTTTATTTACTCACAGTTTAAATTATGGACTATAATCATACATCAACTAAATTCTCAAGAAACTGGAGGGATTGATTGATATAAATTGGCAGTAAACAGATAAAAACTGCATTGATATGATTGATAATATAATATTTAATCACACTTCATGTTTAGTCTAGTCTGTGGAGGGCCACATAAAAACCTAGGGTGGGCCGGATTTGGCCCCCGGGCCTTGAGTTTGACACATGTGATATACACTATGAAAAAAATCTGCAAACATGTTTTATATCAGAATTGTTTGAACTGTCATAATGAATGCAGAGAAAGTCATATAGTAATAAAATGATGCTAAAATCACACACGACTTAAAAGTCAATGATTTTAACCAAAAGGAAGCTTACAAGCTTTTTTAGTTCACATGTTATATAACAATATTCGCTCTTCAAAAACATACCTGGAGTCTTTGATGCATGTTTGAGAAATCCTTTTATCTCCATGGCAACCATTCAGCTGTGAAAAACGCCCGGGTGGACCTAGCTCCGCCTTCGAGGATAAAGCTCCTCCTCTGAGCTGCAGCTCACAAGCTTCGACCTCCCCTGTGACTCTCCCACTCAGCTCCTTCAGACTAGCCAGCAGGAATTAGCAAACACCTGTTAGTTTATATGAGCTGCTTCTCCACACTAAGAGGAATGTTTTGTAGAAAAGAAGATTGTTTGGAGAAAAACTCTCCAAACAATCTGTATTTTTTTTTCTGCACAAATAATTTTTTAGTCATCCAAGTTCAACCAAACTTGGGTTGCAGAGCGGTACAATGTTCCAAAGAACTCCAGCAAATCTTCCTCTCAATGGCCTTAAAATCAACAAAATGAAGGTTTTGGAGAGGTCTAGTCAAAGATTATGTGGTATGGCTCCAGATAAGCTGTACAAGCCAAAACCCCAAAATCAGAACATAGACGGAGCAGTAAATGAATCGGAGCAGCGCCTCCATTCCAGCGGCTGTCTGTCTGTCTGTCTGTCTGTCTGTCTGTCTGTCTGTCTGTCTATCTGGCTGTCTGTCTGTCTGTCTGTCTGTCTCCTGCTCCGTCTTACTGTCACTCATAAACAAGTCAAGACGTAATGGAATTGGAAATCTGTAAACACACGATGTCATCAGCAGTGGCCCCGCCAGCCCTCTGGCCCTCTTGACGTCCACCATCCTGGCAGGTGGACGTCAAACTGTCGCACCAACCAATGTTGTTATTAAAGCTATAGAAAACATCTGACCTGAAACCACAAAAAATATACCTGTCAATCTACCGGCTTCGTTATTTTGCACAATTTTAACTCCAAACTTTCATTTGAACAAACCAGAAATCCTGTGTTTGACTTTGACTATACCCAAATTTTCCGTTGTCACCGACATTGTTTTTACAGAACCTCAGAGCAAGTTGTGGGATTTTGAAAAATAAATTCTTCTTTATACAAGAAGTAAGCAACAAACAGACAGAAAGAACCTAAAATCAGGACTAAAGACCATCAACAATAGGCAGTGGAAGTCATGAACGGGTTCATAACTGGTTTACTTTCAACCAAAGACGGACGGACGGACATTATTGAAGAGTAAAGACCTAGAGCATTTTTTAAATATGATTTGCTGTCATTGCTTTTATTAGATTTTTTTTATCATCTTGCTGCCTTTCTTCAGGGCTCGGTAAAATGAACCGATGCTCTGGCTAAAATATTCATGCAGTTTTACTGCTAAGTTGTCCTGCGATGCAAAAAGAGTCACAAGATCTTGTAAGCAGAAATCCCACAGAAGAAACTGAAGTGTGTCCTGGTGATTTCCTGCTTTGGACAGAGGTAGCAGTAAAGCCTAGCTTTAGCCAAAAGTTGGACAGGGGGAGGGAGAAGGATTTATGGGTCTTACATGAATCATTTAGAGAACAGACAGGAAGAATCATTGCTGCAACAAGAGAGGAGGGGGAAGAAGAGGCACAAGCACTGTTGTTGCTAAAAGCAGAGATACAGAGAGGTTGTTTCTGTGTTCTTGTACTTGTCATTTGAGGTAATTAGGGTCTCTTGAGATATTTCTCCTTAATGGTCCCTTTCTTCCATCACTAAATGAACATGTTATATCAGTCCAGTGCAGAACTAATTTAATTTGTTAATGGCTTTATTGAAGCTTTCATTCTGTGGAGCAGAGTCACATCAATAAGAAAATATATATTCTTCCATAAACATCAGTCTGTGTTTATTAGATGGATTCTGTTAATTCTGTCAATTTTTTTAAAGAAGTGGAAAAAGTTCAAAACAAGTGAAAAGATCCTTCAATAAAGTGCCTAAAGTTCAGTTATACATCTTTTAGACTTCACTTAAAGCAAAGCAAGTGGCATGCATCGAAGCCATATGCAGAACATAATTATGCTCTTACTTCCAGGGAGAGTCAAAGTATGAATCAATCTTTATTCCTTCTGTTGCAGATGGATGTTGCGTCTCTTTACGGGTGAATTAATCACACTAATTACATCGGGAACTAATGACTTTCAGTTATACCTGCAGACCGAAACCCAGAGCTGGAATTTAAATTGATGTGAGAGAGAAAATGAGAAAAAGGAACATTAATTCTTAAAGACTCAGTTTCAAAAGGATTGGACTTTTTTGATATATGATATTAAGAAGACATATTATTCCCCTTTCTTGTGATTTGAGCATGGTTTAAACATAGAGGTATGCGTCTGCATGTCTCATGATGGCCCACGGCTCATTGACGTGTTTTATTTATTGCAATCCAGACATTTCAGATATTACTTAAAAGAAATTGACTTTTAATATTTAATGCCTTGAAACTGGGGCTCTGTCTCTTTAAAAACTTCTTCTCTCTGGCCAACGCTGACATTTTGATGCATGTTTTTGTTTTTAATCATTCAGACTGCATTAACACAGCTCTGCTCAGCTTTCAGCTGCTACGAAACGCTGCAGCTCGTGTGTTTAACCAACAGGAAGTGAGCTCACGTTACACCTGTTTAAGAACCGCTGCATTGGCTCACCACAAGTCTCAGGATTTCTTTTTGTGGGTTTAAATTTCTTAATGGTCTTGCACGATCTCATCTTGCAGAGCTGCTATTAACTTGTAAAGCCCTGCGGACCCTGAGGTCCTCCGGCGACGGGCTATTAACAGTCCCAGGAGTCAGAACACACACTAACAGAGAGGCTTCTTTCCAGTCTTTCCGGTCCAGAGAAACAGTTCAATAAGGCTTATTCACAATGTGTGCCTGAAAACAGGAGAAATCCGGGTTAAAACTGAGCCTTCAGGGCTGCAGTTAATTTAGTGATCACTTATTCTGACAACAAATCAATTAATCAGATTTAAAAAATAGGATTTTCTACTCAAACCGTTTTATAGAATATCAGAAATACATTAAAAGATGCAAAACATCAATTTCAAATCCAAAATGTAAACATACTTTGTTCAGTTTTGGCTTTATTACTGCTCTGAATATTTTTTTTAGTAAATGGCTTTTGAGTCGCTACATTGCAGCTAGAAATCAATTGCTAAATATCGGCAGTTATTTTGATAATCTAATAATTTATTGTTTTCTCTTTTTGTTCCGCCTTTTTTTCATCATTCATTTTATTTGTTCTTTCTGTTGTTATTTATTTTGGATATTTAAAATGTCTTCAGTTTCAGTGTTTAACGTCCATTAAATTTGAAAGTTTATGCATCTTTGAGAATGTGTTCTTGAATTACAATGCTACTAGATTATTTGTAAATCGTTTCAAAATAACAGTTTTATTGCAATAGCTAATAGGACAATTCATCATCTAGCGTTATAACCTTATTATAATGGATATATGTTTATTTTTTTCCAATAATTAAATTGAAAGGCGATTGCTCACATGCTTTAAATAACTCAGAGTATTGCCTGTCTGTTTGGGATGGGTTTTATAAAATCTGATAAGAACTTTTGTGATATCATGTTGTAATCTATATTTTGGTTTTATTCCTTCCCATTTCATGACACAGTGAGAACCCTGAGTTTGTAACCTGATAAATGTGAATCAATGCTGCTATGGGGAGGTAAAAATAGCTTCTCCAAGTGTTTGAGCCACCAGGATGCAGCAGCGTTCAGCTCATTCTGCCTTGTTAAGCAGCTGAGGAGCCGTTTCTGAGTCAGCCACAGGATGAGCTCCTCATCGTTTCAGCTGTCACTCTCCTGGACTCAACAGGCTGCACGATACCTGCAACAGGTACAGACAGGCTGGAGGACAGCTCCCAGCTCCCAGCCCTGATTGGCCACTGCAATAAGAGTTTCTGTCTATATCACATCACTTTTCCTGACCAGCAGATTTCTATATATAAAAACCTGACAAAAGGAGATTATAGAAGCTTCTGAAGATGACAGTGACATAAGTATGACTAAGCTCCTCATCATTTTATGATCCAACTCATCAGCTTTACTGTAAACAGTCGAAGGAAAAGACATTTTATTGTTTCACTAACAAGCACAACCCAACAGTCAGTCATGAGAATCTCAGTTTGGATGAGAATCTCAGTTTGGATGGTGGTTGTTGCAAAAACTGTTTCAAATCCATTTCTATCAACTGCTTTAGCTCATGTTTGCCATGGCAACCAGCCCTTCAGCTCACAGCCTCCTCCATCCTCTGGTATGTATTATTAAATCATCAAACAAGCTTCACATGTTAACTGCAGAGAATCTACAGAATAAATTATTGAAGAGAT